AAAGACAAAGATTCATCTACAAAACGTATAAACTCATTCTCCTGGGACAGTTTATTTTGGCTTATTATAAACGTAAAACAACTTGTTTTTTATGCAGCCCTATAAAAAAGCATGTACACAACTTTCAGCTCAAATATCTCAAGGTTATGATCCATATGGGGTATAAATAAGGCCGGCATTGGATCCAGCGAATTATTTTTTATTAGAAATGGTGCATCTCTTTTTGGGAACTTTCATGAAGGAGCCCCCTTAAGCAAAGTTAGGCGAAGTTGGGCAGTGCTTAACAGAAATTTTGTTTTCGGAATAGGTTAGGGGGTTCTAGTGCAACATTTGGTACAACAATTATTAGGTTCAACACTTCACAATACTTTTATTGCCATGTAGTAAAACGGAGCACCTACTATTCTGTGTATAAAAAACATATACACAGATAAGATTAGGCCACTTTTACCATCGCTATTGCCGCATTCAGCGCCTTGTCGGAAAAAGTAGTCTACTCCTGATACGTATTTCAGACTCATGGTCACTTCATAGTTAAAAAAAATCCTGCAAATATAAACAATATATAAAAATAAATGAATAAAACAATCATATTTTTTGTTTTCCGTCCAGCTTAAGGATCAGCGATCTTGGCAAATAGAAATAATTTTGATATCCACGGGATACAATTTAATTTTTGACATTTTCAATCATTATTTTTTCTTAAAAAAATACTGGTAAAAAAATTGTGATGAAAATTAAGGATGCAGGTTCAGAAAATAATTTATTTGAAATTTATAAAAAATGTTAACCATCCTTAAAATTAAGATACACGAAAATAAGGTAAAGTTTCAATGAACATTTTAATAGTTAAGAAATGAAAAGTCATAAGAAAAAATATATCCAAAACAACTTGATATAATTTCTAACATCACACTTTTATCTGTCACATACGCTCACCCACTCATTCTCAGGAGCGTTCATAATACCCACAATATGTAGGTACTTAAAGAAAGGGCTTACAATTAATGAAAAACTATTTTCATTACAAATGTTTGTTCAATTATGTAAAATAGATGATAAACATACTGTCATTAAAATATATTGCAAACATACTGATGATATGTATTCATAATGAACGATTAAAAATAAAGCTAACTGTACTGTTTTTAGTATACTTGATTTTTTTTAAATCCTAGTTAAACATGTAACCTTAGGAAAAAATTCGTAAAATTGCATTTATAAGGAAATTATCTGTAGAAATCTCCCAATTATTTGTATGATAGAATACTGTTAAATGAACATTTTACATTTTTCAAATGGATCCACAAGTTGGTTTTTTAACAACATAAGAAAGAAGGAGTTGAGTATGCGTAAAAGCGTATATGTAGGTACATTTATATGAACTAAAGTCATGAATGAAAACTATGTGAAACAACAAGACTCAATGAAATCAATTAATGCATTTATAGAACCTCGTATTAATAAATTGTTAATGAAAAAAAAAAAAAA